CAAACAAACCAAATATTTATTCAGTATCTCCTTACTTAAAACTCAGGCAAGATATCATATTAAGGTTAATTATGGTGACAATAAAATTAAAAATAATTGTATCATTACTGACATGATATTGAATTCATGAGTATAAAATAAAACAGAAGAGAACTGAAAGTCTTGTAGTATTTTATCAGCAAGTAGATATAAATAAAAAACTAATCTAAGGAAAACAGATTTCTGCCAAAATGTAAAATGGAAAGTTGTATTAGGAACTGCTAACTGTCACCTCCCTTTCCATTTTAGTAATAAAACCCCCAAATTTATCAAGCATGTGTTCCTCCAGAATAAAGGTTATACTTCCCAGCTTTCTTTGTAGCCAGATGGGGTCATGTCATTAAAGTCTGGTGAATGAAATTTAGCAAGTGTCCTGTGTGACTTCTAGAAAATGTCCTTAAAGGGAAGGAATATGCGCTGTCATTTCTTTTCCTGCCAGCTGGACTGTGGACCTCATGGTTGGAACCTAAGCAGCCACCTTGCACCTAAGATGAAAGCCAGGTATTGAAGATGGCAAAGCAAAAATCCAGGAGGAGTCTGGATCTCTGATGATTGTGGAGTCATCATAGCACTCATGGAGAACACATGTGAGATAAATTAAAAATCTTGCTTAAACCACTGTTATTTTGGTTTTCCCACTTCTTGCAGCCAAACCTTATCTTTAGAATTTAATATTGTTCTAGCACTTCATTGTCGAATGCTATGAGAACTGAAGGAACCCAGAATGTGGGATATGGTTTCAGGGTAGGCTTTACTATACAACTACCACAGAGAGGAATTGGATAGGATCTGAGTGGAACAGGAAGAGAACAAAAAGGAGAATTTGCTTGGTACAAATGTGTAAATCCAAACCCATATTTTTGACATCTTTAGTATTACAGATATATTGCTTCTCCTGCTGATCAAGTTGGTGTAGGTAATAAATCACAAATCTGAGTATACAATAAAATCTAAACATATTAATATAACCTGTTCTACAATGTGTCACTGCTGCCTAGAAACAGCCTTCAGTATGGAAGAGGATGATTTTCCTGGTACTTGGTAAATTGGCCTGCTATTATAGAAAAGGCCTCTCTCTGTTATAACTGTCATTCAGGAGGGTTGGATAAGAAAGAAATAGAAAAGCATAAGAGCAATTAATGAAGAAATAGATTTTGATTTAAATTGAACTTTCAGTCAATTTACCTATGCATAAATGGTCATCTGTCATATAAGACACTCAAGGATACGTTTCTTTGTTACTCCAAAACAACTAAACTAAAGGATTAACTAATTATTTCTTAACTTGAGGAAAATGTCTTACATGACTTTAATCAAAGCATAGCAGACTGAAGGAAGGGGCTTGTGCCTGGTCATTAGGGGCTCTTGGGCCAGGAGAAGTAGAAACATTGCCATGGGACAGTAACTTGGGCTTTTTCAGTATCAAGCAAAGAGTGTTAGAGAGGCTCAACATAGAAAGAGTCTGCCGTGGTAAAGACATGGAATGTAGAGCCAGGTCCAGGGAGAAGTTTGGGCAGAAATCTTTAATCAGGGAGGTTTGTAAGGGAGTAGGATGTCCTGGTAGGTGAACTCTGCAGAGCTCAAGAAGTCTAGAAACAAGCTGTGAGGAGGGCCAACTGGCAGGTGGATTGACAACGTGTTAGTCTAGCCTGGGGGACTGAAGCTTAGGCCTCAGTAAGAATAGCTGGAGAATGTCAGGGAAAATAAAAACTGAACTTAGATTTGGAAAACAAGATGGAGGCTTTGGTGTCAAGGAAGGATGCAAAAGACTGGCTATTCAGACAAGGTGTAAGGAACAAGGTTAGAGGGGTCTTAGAGCAGTATTTCCCTCAGATAAATAAGGTAACTGGGTCCTGAGCTACTGAACTATGCAGGGATGCAGGGGTCCTTTTATTTTTGGGTCTAGAAGAATGTTGAGATCATGAATGGAAGCCAACTGGCCTCACATCCAGAACCCAGGAAGCTTTAATGAGAGGCAGGCAGCTAATCACATTATATGGAACAAAAAGGATTCATGTGCAACCAAGAAACAGTTGCTCCTTCAAACCCATTCTGTGAGGCTGGTTCGAGTCTAGCTTTAAATGCACTTTAGAATAAATAATGTTGACTTCTGGTCACTCTCAGTAAAACCTCTAGTCATTTTAGTTTCCTAGGTCACAGTTCTAATATTGAAATGACCAATCTCAGTGTAGTTGTAAAAACTTCCAATTACATCTGTATCAACTCTTCTCTCTTCCTTAGCTTGAACCTGCTCAAGGGAGGGTCAGCTTCCTCTCTATTTTTGTGTTTTATGCTTCTATCTCTCTTCTCCCAGCTTGGTAACCCATGGTTTCCATCCAAGGTGAAGTCGCTGGGGTTTGGGGAAAAGACGAAGGAAGAGAAAAATGTTTAGATCGTCAGACAATGACATAGAGAACTGGAACTGACGTTCTCTGGGCTTGGCAGGTGTTTAAAGCTCTGTTTCTCTTTTGAGATGCTTGTCAAGATTCTTTAGAGATAATCCCATTGCTGAGAATCATCTATTCAAAGTTCCTTTTGTGCAGGGCAATGCATACCCTCAGCTCCTAAAAATCTATGTTATACTTCCTGCTTCTCTCTTCTCTGGATCGATCATGTCTCCAGGCAATCTTCTTGAAGATCAATGTTACTCAACCTGCTTCTCCTTCTCTCACTCCTCTTATCTGGTAGATGAGAGACTCTTATGCATTCTTTTCCTCAACAAATTCTGGAAGAATAATCTATCCCAATGTATCGGCTTCTCTTAGTTCCTTTACCCGGCAGCCAGTCAGCCAACCAGTCACAGTCAGCCAGCTACCCTTCAATTTGTCTGGCCTGAGACTGTCTTGTATTTTTCAAGCAGCAAAGGACATTACAAAGCTCATGGTGTAGTAGTTCTTGTTATTGTTCTGCTTCTTCTTCCTCTTTCTTCTCTCCTCTTTTTTTTTTTTTTTTTTTTTTTTTTTTGTTTTTGTTTTTTGATGCCTGTTTTCCTGGGCTCAATAAGGGGGTGGGTGGTAGAGGACTTGCAATTCTCTGATAGTCTTTCCGATAAAACCTCTTTTAATCTCCTTTTCTGCCCTTTTGTATCTTCAATGTGGGTGAATACCTACAGAAAACTAGCTTTTGACCATGACCTTTGCAAGCCTCATCTAGTAATCTCACATCTCATTTTGAAGCCAGTAGTTTGCACATACCTGTTAAGGACTCAGCCAAAGCTAAGACTCAAGTACTTTTATTTTAACATTCAATCATAATCACACTCATCTACATTCTCTTTAAAATTCAGATTTCACCATGTTCTGTTATCCCTTGTTGAATTTTTTCTTATCAGTGTTCTCATTTGCTTATATTAACAAACTTCATTATCAAAAATGATGCCACGCACTAACCATGATAGGACAGCACAGTGAGGTGTTTGTCAAGACTCCTCTCCACCCCCATGTACTCACACAGCATCCCTTACAGTCACAGATGACTTGAACTTTCAGGGAGCTATCCTTTGCTAGACAAGACTTGCCAACTATTCCTAAAGTATGTCTTTCCTTACTAATCTTCAAAAGAAGATTTTCATTTTTCTCCAAGTTCTTCTTGATCCAGGTATTTCAGTAAAAGATCACTTTAACAGAATTAGGCCAGGTGTAGTGGCTCATGCCTTTAGGCCCAGCAATTTGGGAGGCCAAGGCAGGTTCATCACTTGAGGTCAGGAGTTCAAGACCAGCCTAGGCAACATAGTGAAACTCCTTCTCTATTAAAAATGCAAAAATTAGCTGGGCAGGCACCTGTAATCCCAGCTACTCAGGAGGCTGGGTCACAAGAATTGTTTGAACCTGGGAGGCGGAGGTTGCAGTAAGCATTAGACCATTGCACTCTAGCCTAGGTGACAGAGCAAGACGCTGTCTCGGAACACAAAAACAAAAAAATCACTTTAATATGTTACATTTTATGTCTGAACAAGAATGGTTGCACTTACATAATTAGACAACATTCCAAATTTCCATTGGCTGACCTTCAGGAAATTTGCTTAGAGTATTTGGGGTGTGTTTGTTTTTACCCCGCCTTTTTTGTATCACAGTTAACCATTGTTTTTTTTTCCTAATTAAGTTGGTACATCTGCAAAAGTTTTTCCATGCCATGTCCAAGTTAACAACAAAGTCATTAATGATACTCTGCATGGCTAGAGACAATTTAAGGAATGTAACAAGCAGAAAATTTTTCTGGAAACTTGAATTATTTCTATTTTGGTTTGATAATTGCACAGTAATAATTTAGCTTTGCTATAAGCTCAGCCTTCAGAAAACAGTAGAATAAAATATTTAAAATTTCTAAAACATTATCATTTTGATTTCAGGGTAAAAAATCTGGAATTTTAGAAGTCAGTATTTAATTGACTGGCCCAATTGACAGCTTGACTCTTTCCTACTTTTGATCTTTGAGTATCACCTCATTTCAGACATTTATAAGAACATCTACTCTGTTGCTTTGTTGGACAGAGAGAAAGAGAATAAGAGGTCTGCAGCATCACTACTAGATATTAATTGGTTGGTAATATTACCAATAAAACACTTCTTTATTCATTGAACAATAATTAATAAAATGTTTACTCAATAAGATAATTCAGGTATTTTATGTGTGGTGGGAAGAGATAGAAAATAAAAAGAGAGAAAAAATGTCTCTGTTTCCAAGATATTTTATATGAGAAAGCAGAATTTTTAAAATGCAGAGGGATACAGGATAAACTATAGCAACTGTCACATATAAGCTGAAGTATGTTTATAGGAGAACTATAAAAAATGAAGAAATCAAATTATATTATATGATGAAAAAAGAAAGAAACCAGGCATATTAGTTTGCCAAGACAATCTCAAGGGAAATATAGCTGTTTTATGTGTTGGCAGGATTGTCATTTGTAGAGAGAATAGATTGTGATGGGTCCTGGCTTCTTAAAGAACAAAGCCCGTACATCTCACTTGGGCATACAAAATCACAAGCTGATTCCAGTTTTCCAAATTATGTCTTTCTAATTGCAACCACATCAGTTCCAGACTTCTTTCTTACTCTTATACTTGGCCATGTATTATTTTCCTACCTAGAATGCCTTATCCTCTTTTCTGCCTATACTTACTCATCCTTACAAGATAATTTTGTGTTTATATAAACATATAATTTCCTATTGTACATCCAAATCCTCACTGAAATGACCAAAAGAATACAAAAATTAAAAAACAAATACCTTGGGATTAGAAAATAGGGATGAATAGTTCATACATGCTAGAAACTCTAGGGAAGTCTGTTAGATATACTGCATGTGGGCACAGGTAAAGTTAAATCACCAAAACCAACCTGCCACTTTCCTCCTTTAGGGTAGCTGGTATTTCAGAGAGCGAGTCAAGGAGATCCAAGGCATTCCTCATGATACAGACAAGAAGCAGACCTCCAAGAATTTATTTTGCTATGAGAGCTCAACAAATTCAAAAGTAGCTGTGATTGGATCTGTTGGAGTTTTTAAGCTGCTATTTCAACTGGAAAAATGTGAAAAAAAAAAAAAAAACACCAGGGATGAAAACTAGGTTAGATTGTGTATGGAGAACATGTCAAACAGAAACCTATATTCAAAAAGTTGGTCCATCCTTCTACTTGATGTGAAAATGATGAAGCTATAATAATCAAAGCACCTACTAATCAATGTTTTGATGCAACAATGACCAGAAAGCATGATTTCAGAAACAAACTTAAAATGTATGAGTTTTATTAATTTCTCTTAGCTCCTGTTTCCTTGGTTGTAAAGCAGAGATAATGATGATGACATAACACATAATACAAGATGCTAAAAGCATTATAATTTTTAAGCAGGCTAATGCATATTAAATGATTAACACAATAAGCACCAATAATTCCTAGCTTTAGGATTACTATTACCAAAGTATTACTTTGATATAATGAAGTTGGAATTTTAAATCACTTAGGAAATGATCCTTCAATATTAAGAATTTGAGAGAAAATGAGTTTGACCCTTACTTTCTAAATTACTTCCTACAATTGATAGTGAATAGTTGCCCTCAGAATAAAGTCTTTTTCAGAAAACACCAAAGATATGATGCGTAGAGAAAATATTATTTGATTTGCTACACAGAAATAAAAATAAAAATTTTTAATCAGTCAAAAACATATTAAGCAACACTTAATGTAAACCAAAATGTGGGGAAAACATTCACGACATAATTGGGAATTTAAGTGTGTGTAAAACATACACAGAATGTACTATTTAATAAAAAATAAATAAACACATTGCTTAAAAATCCAAATATGCTTTTTAGTTTCTTAAAAATGAAATTAAGTAATGCCTGAATGCATTCAATAAATATTTGTTTAGCACTTACTCAATAAACATAGTTTCCCTGCTATTGGGATTACAGGCCGGAGCCACTATGCCTGGCCCCTCCCACCTTCTGTAGTCTCCAATGTCTATTATTCCACTCTACATTTCCGTGGTACCCATTGTTTAACTCCCCCTCAGAACTGAGAATATGTGACATTTGACTTTTTGTTTCTGAGTTAGTTTATTTAAGATAATGGCCTCCAGCTCCCTATTTAAATATAGTTGAATTTTTAACATTTTTATTTATTTGGGGGATACAAGTACAGGTTTCTTACACACATATATTGCATAGTGGTGAGGCCTGGGCTTTTAGTGTACCAATCACCCAAATATAACATCATACCCAGTAGGCAATTGTTCAGTCTTCACTCCCTCACTACCTTCCCCCCATCTCATCTTCCCACCTTTTTGTTTGTTTGTTTGAGTCAGAGTCTCACTGTCAACCAGGTTGGATCGCAGTGGTGCAGTCTTGGCTCACTGCAACCTCTGCCTCCCAGGTTCAAGCGATTCTTGTGCTTCAGCTTCCCTAGTGGCTGGGATTACATGTGCCTGCCACCACGCCCAGCTAATTTTTTTATTTTTAATAGAGATAGTATTTAGCCAGGCTGGCCTTGAACTCCTGGCCTCAAGTAATCTGCTTGCCTTGGTCTCCCAAAGTGCTGGGATTACAGGCATGAGTTACTGGGCATGGCCCCTCCCACCTTTTGTCGTCTCTAGTGTCTATTATTCCACCCTGCATATCCATGGTACCCACTGTTTATCTCCCACTGGTAAGTGAGAATATGTGGTATTTGATTTTTTTGTTTCTGAGTTATTTCATTTAGAATAATGGCCTCCAGCTCCATCCATGTTGCTGCACAAGACATGATTTTATTTTTTATTGCGTAGTACTATTCCATGGTGTGTGTGTGTGTGTGTGTGTGTGTGTGTCCCATTTTCTCTATCCAGTCCTCCATTGATGGACACTTAGGTTGATTCCATATCTTTGCTATTGTGAATACTGCTGTGATAAACATCTGAATGCTTGGAATAGCATGGAAGCTGCTAGGAAAATCTTTTTGATATAATGATTTCTTTCCCTTTGGATATATACCAAATAATGGCATTCTTGAATCAAATGGTAGTTCTATTTTTTGAGTTCTTTGAGAAATCTCCATACTGTTTTCCACAAAGGTCGTACTAATTTACATTCCCTCCAACAGTAGATAAGCATTCCCTTATCTCTGCATCCTCACCAACATCTATTGTTTTTAGACTCTTAAGTAATAGTCATTCTGATTGGTGTAAGATGGTATCTTACTGTGGTTTTAATTTGCATTTCTCTGGTTAGTCATGCTGGACATTCTTTCCTGTTTGTTGTCTTGTATGTCTTCTTTTGAAAAATGTCTGTCCATGTCCTTTGCCCACTTTTTAATGGGGTTATTTGTTTTTTTCTTGTTGAGTTGTTTGAATTTTTTGTAGATTCCAGATGGTAGCTTTTCATCAGATGCATAGTTTGCAAATATTTTTCCCATTCTGCAGGTTGTCAGTTTACTTTGTTGATTGTTTCTTTTCCTGTGCAGAAGCTCTAGAAAGACAGATAAAGTATTCGACTTCATGAATCTTATCTTTGGAAATATTGCTAAGAGCAGAAATACATATGATCAACAGACATGAAAAAAATTTCCTCAGTAAAAATCAAAAACACGAAAATCAAATCAATATACAATTTCTGACCAATCAAACATCCAAGATTTTAAAACATACACAATGTTGACAACATAGTGAATTAGAAACTTCACCAGTAAGAGAAATTAGACATAGTTTTTGGATGGCTATTTAGTAATAGTTATCTAATAATTAAAAAACTTATTCTATCCAGTAATTCAGTTGCTTATAGTTTACTCTTAGAAAATATTCAGTGGTGCATGGAATATTTTGATCATGATGATAAGTTCTGCATTATTTTTAAGAATAAAAAATTTAAAACAATGTTTTGTTTCTGTAACAGTTTAAGTAAATTGAGATCTATCTGCAAAACAGACTACTATATAACTCAAAAAACATCTAAAAGAAATATTTTACAAATTAAAAAATATATTCTTGTGGTCTTATTACATTTAAAAGAAAGGCTTACAAAACATTGTGTTAAATCTGACTCTTTTGCAAAAAAGTTTTTATATATGCATAGAAAAAACATTGAAAAATATTCACTAAATTAGTAACTATTGTATTGTTGGGTGAAAGTTTAATACATGATTTTTGTTTGCTTTATCTTTTTTATATTCTACAATGATAAACGTTGCATACAAAGTTTACTTAAGCAGAAAATTAACGAAAGGAAGAAAAACCCAGCTAGAATGAACCACCTCTGTGAGGACTTAGTCCACTTACCTCGTTAAGCTGGGTTACTTGTTTCGCTATATTCTCGTAACACTTTGCTTTATCTGTTTTAAACATGTACTAATCATTTATGGACTTTTCTTCCACTGAGATCCCTGAAAGTGGGGTTATTTCATCTTTATATTCTCCTTTTGCTCTTCACTAATCTAAATCCTGTAGTAGAATAGAGGCTTAGTGTTTTGAGTTGAATTGTGTCTCTCAAAAAATATGTTGAGATCCTAATCCAGAATAGCTGTGAATGTGATATTTAGAAATAGGATCTTTACAGAGGTAATGAAGTTCAGATGACATCATTAGGATGTACCCTAATCCAATATAACTGGTGTCCTTATAAGAAGAGAAATGCACAGACACACACTGTGTGAGGATGGAAGCAGAAATGAAAGCAATGTACCTATAAGCCATGGAATGCCAAGGACTGCTGGTAATACAAGTAGCTAAGAAAAAAGGCATGGAACAGATTCTGCCCTAGAGCCTTCAGGGATAGGATGGCCCTGCTAACGTCTTTATTTTGTTTTTCTAATCTCTAGAACTGGGAGAAAATAAATAGATGTTGTTATGAGCAACCCAGTTTGTAGTACTTTATTACAACAACCCCAGGAAATGAATATGCTCCATGAATAATTACTGAATAATAAGTGAACAGATTTTTTTTCTACATTGACCCCCAGGGGTAAATTCAGGACTAGTGACTGGATTTTAGAGGAAGAAGATTCTTGCCTCTTCCTATTACAAAGAATTTGTATGAAGAAAATTCAAGACAGAGTTTGCTATTTGGACACTATTCTAAAATCCATAGTTCTAAAATATAATTTTTATTTTATATTAACAAAAGAGGTAATCATTATTTGGATGTATAAGATTTGCAATATAAAACCCACTGTAATGAATGTAAGAAAAAGCAAGATGTTTTGGTTTTAGTGAAGTTAGGTAATAATAGCACCATCTACTGGTATATGAACAATGCTATGACACATGAATACGTGTGCAAGTTGTTTGAAACAGCACATAACAGGTATTCAATAAAAGTTGGTTTTCATCATTCCTTTCTTCTTGCTAGAAGGTAAAATAATAATAAAAAACTATTAATGTCTTGGTTTCCAAGAGATTTATTTATTTAAAGTAAATATTTAAAGTATTTTTTATTTATTTAAAGTAATTTATTTAAAGTAAATCCCTATATGTGCAAAGGTAATTAATGAAATAAACAAAATCCATCCAGCTTTAGATGTAGTATATCTGATTAGAGTAGAAAGGATTGTAGTTTGTGTACAACTACAACAAAATATAAAATTATAATTTAATTAAATATATACTGCATACTTACTATGAGTCAAAAATAATGCAAAGTGGACATACAAATATGAATGAGTTGTTTTTGATAACGTTTTATTATTAGAATAAAAAGTAAGTTTGCTTCATCATGCTTGTGTAGAAGAAAATATTCAATAAAAACATTTAACTGTAAATGTCTAATGTCTACAGGATTTAAACATTTTTCAAATGGTGAATCTGGCACTGACTCACCCTTAGGGTATAGATTAAACATATTAGCACATACATATTTTTTACCACTTATGATCCTACTCTGTTAAGAGTTTGATTTTACATAAAATGTTCGCCACTTACCACAACTTTGCTGTTTTCTTCCTCCACCACCCCTTCCAGGAAACATTTAGAGGCAATCGTCATATTACAAACTGTTACTGGTTCTTAACCTGAATTTTATGAAATAATAGACAACAAAATTATATCTAATCCCCAGCCCAAATAACTCATGGGGAATGATTATGTTTGTGCTCTGTGCAAAGCTTAGCCTATACTTTCGACAGTTCAAAAAATTACAATCATAGATAGAAAAGAGCAGTGAATGATATCTGTTTATTTAAAATATGCCCCTAAACCAGGCTGGAACCCAGAAATGTTTGGTATCCAGAACATTTCACAAATTTTTCAGATTGTGCCTGTACAAATTCACAAATTTTTTAGATTGTGCCTGTACAGAGTTGCTGACTCAGGTAATCTGTTCTAACAGGCTTCTGTAGTATGCTTTAGGTTGCTCCAACATCATACTCTCAAAAGCAAGGAACTTTTTTTCATGAGAGAACATTTCTACACAGTGCAAAGTTTACTTCAATAATTCTGCCATTTGGAACTAAATAAGCTGTAAAACTGAAGTAGCAAAGTAGATACTTAAACACTTAAACATAGTTTTTAGCTACACATTATAAATTCCCTTTTGAAAAGTTCCCTTAATGAGGTCTCCCATACTATTCCACTTTCACCATGAAAAAGTCTGAAAACAGCACAGTAATTAAAATACAGGTAAGAAAAAAAATGGCTAAACAGATCTGATAGTTTTTTAAAGGTATGTAAATTTCAGTGCACATTTACTATATTGAGATACAATACACTGGTTTTAAAATCAAACAGGCAAAGAATCAAATCCTAACTCTGATGTTCATTAATTAAATGCATCTTGGGAAGTTCACTTCATTTCCAGTAGTCTCATGTGTAAATTAGTGTAAGTAATATCTATATGCCAGCATTGTTGTTAAAGTAGATCCTACACATAAAGCATCTGTCACATAGGGACACTTAAATATCGACTATCCTCATTTCCTTTCTTGAGGAATAATTGCGGGAAGGGAGACAGGAGAACATTAGAAATTCAAAACATTAAAAATGTTCATTGTATGATTTTGGCTGGCTTTCTCTCTTTTCTCTCTATCTCACCTTCTTTCTCTCTTCCTCCCTCCCTCCTTCCTTCCTCCCTCCCTTCCTCCCCGCCCTTGCCTTGCCCTGCTTTCTCCTCCCTTCCCCTTCCCTTCCCTTTCCCTTCCCTTCCCTTCCCTTCCCTTCCCTTCCCTTCCCTTCCCTTCCCTTCCCTTCCCTTCCTCCTTCCCCCCCTCCCTCCCCTCCCCTCCCGTCCCCTCCCCTCCCTTCCTTTCTTTTCTTTCCTGTTCTTTATATTGGACAATGTAGAGTTGATCTAGGGACAGTAAGGAACCCTCTGTGCCTTTTATTTATTTAATTTTTGATAGAGATTATGTGACTATAAAATAGACTACATTTTTTCAGATATATCTGAGTTTAAGTGAAGGATGGGTGAATGCAATTGCCCTGAAATATGTCATAGTTCAACAATTTCAAAAGCATGTTTGCACATAATCCCACCCACACCGTTATGTGTCTGCAGTAACACATGAATATTTGAGGCAGAACCAGGTACATTGCTAGGCTTGGTATAAGAATATCTGGCAAGCAGAGTTTGGGTAATTTAAGCCTTCATGTGTTCAAGTCATCATATAGGCCTCCTGACAGAATGCTGTAAGTGGATAGTATCAACATCAGAAAACTGCTGAGGAAAATAAAGACAAACCCAGGGGCATTGTCATCCTTGGTTTCTCACCAAGTGCATGGGCTTCCACAAGCTTGAAATATATCCTTCAAAAAATAGTGATTAAGCAGCAACTTTGTGCCAGACTGTATGGTTACTAGCTGGAATATGGCAGTAAACAAAGTCAGTGTGGTTTCTGCAGCCATGGAACATACCGGCCAGGCTAGTGTCAGAAAGCTAGTTCTTAAAAAGGCGATTAGGACAATAATAATAAAAGAAGACTGGATAAACCCATGAACATACCTGAGGGTGAGTAGACATCCACTGAAGTTACCTAAAATATCTGATGACAATTATGCTTTTGCAATAAAATGGTATATGAATATGTAGCCATGACGATCATTTAAATGGGTAAAGTAAACCACAAAGTTTAGAACGGCTGAAAAATATCCTGAATATAAAACCTTCTACATAATAGATATCTTAATTAGGTGATTCTTGGAATCACTTAAATAAGTGATCATGGTTTACAGTTTAGAATTCTTATTTTCTGGAAACCTAATTTCAGGAATCCAGGATTCCAAGCATGAATATCTTTATCATTGGCTTTTTTTTTTTTGATGGAGCTTCACCATGTTGGCCAGGCGTGTCTCAAACTCCTAATCTCACGAACTGCCTGTGTCAGCTTCCCAAAGTGCTGGGATTAAAGGCGTGAGCCACCATGCCCAGCCGGGACCTCATACTTAACACATCCAGATCAGAGCTCATAATTTGTGCCTGGATGGTTCCTCCCCAGGTGTTTCTTTATTTTATTTTATATACATATTTTTTTTTGCACTTTAGGTTCTGGGGTACATGTGCAAAACATTCAGGACTGTTGCATAGGTACACACATGGCAATGTGCTTTGCTGTCTCCATCCCTGTCACCTATGTCTGGCATTTCTCCCCATGTTATCCCTCCCCAATCTCCCTGCCCCGTGCTGTCCCTCCACTATTCCCCAAACAACAGACCCCAGTGTGTGATGCTCCCCTCCCTGTGTCCAAGTGTTCTCACTGTTTAACACCTGTCTATAAGTGAGAACATGCAGTGTTTGATTTTCTGTTCTTGTGTCAGTTTGCTGAGAATGATGGTTTCCAGATTCATCCATGTACCTACAAAGAATAACAACTAATCTTTTTTTTTATGGCTGCATAGTATTCCATGATGTATATGTGCCACATTGGCCTTGTCCAGTCTGTCATCAATGGGCATTTGGTTTGGTTCCAGGTCTTTGCTATTGTAAACAGTGCCGCAGTGAACATACCCATGCATATGTCTTTATAATAGAATGATTTACAGTCCTTTGGATATATACCCAGTAATGGGATTACTGGGTCAAATGGAATTTCTAATTCTAGGTCCTTGAGGAATTGCCACACTGTCTTCCACAATGGTTGAACTAATTTACACTCCCAACAGTGTAAAAGTGTTCCTATTTCTCCACATCCTCTCCAGCATCTGTCTCCAGATTTTGTAATGATTGCCATTCTGCACATAGCTAGCCAGTTTTCCCAACACCATTTATTAAACAGGGAATCCTTTCCCCATTGCTTGTTTTTGTCAGGTTTATCAAAGATCAGATGGTTATAGACATGTGGTGTTGCCCCTGAGTCCTCTGTTCTGTTCCATTGGTCTACATCTTTGTTTTGGTACAAGTACCATGCTGTTTTGATTACTGTAGCCTTGTAGTATAGTTTGAAGTCCAGTAGTGTGATGCCTCTGGCTTTGTTCTTTTTACTTAGGATTGTCTTTGCTATGCAGTCTCTCTTGTGGTTCCATATGAAGTTTAAGGTGGTTTTTTCCAGTTCTGTGAAGAGGGTAATAGGTAACTTGATGGGGATAGTGTTGAATCTATGCATTACTTTGGGCAGTATGACCATTTTCACAATATTGATTTTCTTCCTAACCATAAGAATGGAATGTTTTTCCATCTGTTTATATCCTCTCTTATTTCCTTTAGCAGTGATTTCTAATTCTTCTTGAAGAGGACCTTTACTTCTTTTGTTAGTTGTGTTCCTAGGTATTTTATTCTCTTTGTAGCAATTGTGAATGGCAGTTCATTCTTGATTTGGCTCTCTTTAAGTCTGTTATTGGTGTATAGGAATGATTGTGATTTTTGCACATTGATTGTATATCCTGAGACTTTGCTGAAGTTGTTTATCAGTTTGAGGAGATTTTGGGCTGAGACGATGGGATCTTCTAAATATACAATCATGTCATCTGCAAATAGAGACAATTTGACTTCCTGCTTTCCTAATTGAATATCCTTTATTTCTTTTTCTTGCCCTATTTCTCTGGTTAGAACTTCCAATACTATATTGACTAGGAGTGGTGAGAGAGGACACCCTTGTCTAGTGCCACATTTCAAAGGGGATGCTTCCAGTTTTTTCCCATTCAGTATTATATTGGCTGTGGGTTTGTTGTAAATAACTTCTATTAGTTTGAGATATGTTCCATCAATATCTAGTTTATTGAGCGTTTTTAGCAGAAAGGGCAGTTGAATTTTGTCGAAGGCCTTCTCTGCATGTATTGACATAATCATGTAGTTTTTGTCTTTGGTTCTGTTTATGTGGTGGATTATGTTTATAGACCTGCGTATGTTGAACCAGCCTTGCATCCCCGGGATGAAGCCTAATGACCATGATGGACAAGCTTTTTGATGTGCTTTTGCAATCAGTTTGCTGGTATTTTATTGAAGATTTTTGCATCTATGTTCATAATGGACATTGGCCTGAAGTTTTCTGTTTTTGTTTAGTCTCTCCTGAGTTCTGGGATCAGGATGATGTTGCTCTCATAAAATGATTTGGGAAGGATTCCCTCCTTTTGGATTGTTTGGAATAGTTTCAGGAGTGGTACCAGCTCCTCTTTGTATGTCTGGTAGAATTCGGCTGTAAGCCCATCTGGACCTGGACTTTTTTGGTTATTAGGTTATTAATTGCTGCCTCAACTTCAGCCCTTGTTATTGGTCTATTCAGGGTTTGTCTTATTCCTGTTAGGCTTGGGAGGATGCAAGTGTCCAGGAATTCATTCATTTCTTCCAGGTTTACTGGTTTATGTGGATAGAGTTGTTTGTAGTAATCTCTGATGGTAGTTTGTATTTCTGTGGAATCAGTGGTGATATCCCCTTTATTATTTTTTATTGCATCTATTTGATTCTTCTCTCTTTTCTATTAGTCTGGCTAGCAGTCTGTCTATTTTGTTGATCTTTTCAAAACACCAGCTCCTGGATTTATTGATTTTTTTGAAGGTTTTTTTTTGTGTGTCTATATCTCCTTCAGTTCTGCTCTGATCTTAGGTATTTCTTGTCTTCTACTAGCTTTTGAGTTTTGTTGATCTT